ACAGCAGAACGAAACAATGTCCGATCCTGGGCCAACCTCACTACCGCTGCCACACTTGAGTCCATCAATGATGCCACCTGGCTGATCCACCTCGTTGGGGGTCTTCCTCTTTTTCTCTGACCCTCCACCTTTACTCCTAGTCCATTTTAGTTTGGCAGTTCCAGCAAATCCTGTTTAGCATCGTATCAACATGCAAGTCTCTATTGGCAGATGCAAGTGGTGCTGTGGTCAGGAATCGAACACAGATCTCCCACATGGAAGGTGAGAATTCTGCCACTGAGGTAGCATGGCTTCTGGATGGGCAGGGTGGGGATCCAATAGAAGGTCAAGGCTGGACAGTAGAGAGTCTCTTACTATTTGTCAAGCCTGTTTGAAACTCATGGAATTCTGGTGGTACTGTTGGTTAAACATTGGACCGCAAGCTCTTCCTTGGGTGAGCTGAGGCCATGGCGTACGCAGCTTCGGACTGGCCCTACCCCAGGCTTTCAGCCCTGCCTCTACTCGGGGCCATGGTCCCAGGCCCCAGGCCAGGAACAAAGGACACGGATCACCCTTCGGGAGCGTGGCCAACAAGACTCCGCCTCCTGTGCAGCGCGCGCGCGCCGGGCTAGAAAAGCAGGGCTGGCCTCCATCCAGGCGTTGATTGGCTGACTGAGTAAAAACTTCAGCAGCTGATTGAATGAGCGAAGTCCAGTTTTTCTTGCTGATTGGTTGAGATAATATCCAGTTTTCCCATTGGCTAAGGATGAGCTGGGCGGATGCTTCATCTTATTTTTGATTGGTTGTAGAGAATCCAGGCTGCGACTGATTGTTGCAAAAAAATAGTCCTCGTATAATTGGCTGGCGGGCTCCGTTTTGGTCCATTCAAGGAATTAGCGTAGAGCTACAGGCACGGCCATGGCAGGTACCGCGGGACTGGGGACGTGGGCCGGGCCCGGCTGGGCGGCGGGTGGAGCGGTCTGGGCAGGTACCGCGTGGCCCGGAGGCGTGGGCCAGTGAGGGCCGGGCAGGTACGGCGGGGTCGGACATTGCCCGGCCCCGTTGCAGCCTGTCGCCGCTCCAAGCTCCAGAGCCGCTGTCCCCGGTGGATGGCGCAGGCGAGGAGGCTCTGGATGAGGACGAAGACGAGGTGGAGGCTGAGGATCCTGAGCCGCCGGCAGGCGCAAGTGGAGGGCGCGGTGGCTGCGGGACCGTGTCTGGGACTGTGGCAAGCGGCGGCCCGGGGGGCGCGTTCACCCGGCGAGCGGTCACACTGCGGGTGCTGCTCAAAGACGCACTGCTGGAGCCCGGCGCTGGGGTGCTCTCCATCTACTACCTGGTGAGCGCCCCCCCCCCTCCCCACCTGACCGTCCCATCCCTGACAAGAAGGGGAAACAGGCCCAGATCCCAGCCAGTCTCAGGGCACCACAGAGGAGAAACTGAGGCTCAAAGGGGAGTGGTTAGGGGCATAGGGTCTTCCTGACTATAAAGTAGTACCCCCATCTATTAAATGAGTATTTCTCCCTCCTTCCCACACACTATGGGTTTATATGAGGATTAAGTGAATAAAACGCTTAATTAGCATGGTATGGTGCCAGCCAGCCATACAATGAATACTTAATAAATGTTTTTTATTCTATATTTAATGTTCTACTTTTTCTTTTTTAAATTGTGATTTGGATGAAAGTTCACAGAGCAAGTTGGTTTTCCATTCAACAATTCATACACATTTGTTTCATGACCTTCATTGCAATCCTCACATTAACAGCGTCTTCCCATTTCCTCCCTGTGTTTACTGGTTTCCATTTGCCCTTATTTTTCAGTCTGTCCTGTCTTCTGAACTTTATCCCTGAGCAAATGCTGCACTTCTGATCTGTATGGTTAGTTTACCTTCCTGGTTTTATTCTTCACCTTATAGGCCTGCCTACTGTTTGGCTGAAAGTTGAACCACGGAAGTGAGTTCTGTTCTAGGCTTGAAAGATGTTTAAGGGCCGTAATCTAAGGGGTTCACTATTCTTAACACACTTGGCTGCTAACCAAAAGGTTGGAGGTTTGAGTCCCCTCCTGAGGGACTTCAGAAGTAAGGTCTGGCAATCTACTTCCGAAACTATCTTTGAGAACCCTTTATGTAGCTCAGTTCTACTCTGACACACTTGGGGTTGTTGGTAAGTGCTGCTGAGTCTATTTTGACTCATAGCGACCCTTTCTAGGGTTTCTGAGGAGCAGCTGGTGTATTTGAACCTCTGACCTTGTGGTCTGCAGTCCAGTGCTGATCCTCCAACACTACACCAGAAGTCCAGTTGTGGTTATTAAGACTTATGGTTGTGAATGGGGGCAACTTGTGATTTGAACAGTTGTCATGTGCCAGGCAGTGTTTTGGATACTGGGAACTCAACCATGATCAAGACTCAGCTCCCACCCTTAGGGGTCTCATATTCCAATAGCGGATGGACACACACAACTGTGCGTATTTTTCATATAGGATGTTCAGGGTTCTGATGATAGACACCAGGTACTGACAAGGCCTGGAAGCTGACCCAGGGATCTCCACAATCTCCTGGAATTGGAAGTGGTTGGAAAGCTCGGAGGTCAGGGAGGGCTTCCTAAAGGAGCAGAGGTCTAGCTAGTCTGGTGTCCCCACAGGGGAAGAAGTTCGTGGGGGACCTACAGCCAGATGGGAGTATCGTCTGGCAGGAGACGGGGCAGGTGTTCAACTCACCCAGTGCCTGGGCCACCCACTGCAAGAAGCTGGTGAACCCAGCCAAGAAGTCAGGCTGTGGCTGGGCCTCGGTCAAGTACAAGGGCCAGAAATTGGACAAGTACAAAGCCGCTTGGCTCCGGCGGCACCAGCTCCATGTGCCTGCAGCTGCCACCGATGAGGTGCGTCCTTCAGCCCCCCACCATAGTCAGACCCCTTGACTCTACTGGGGTGGGAAAGAGAGACAAGGGCATTAGAAGTGGGGCTTTGATGGATAAGTAGGAGTTTTATCAGAGCAAGAAGGGAGAGACTTTCCAGAATGAGAGAATGGTATGTGTGAAGCACAGAACAACTCCTGCTGCTTGGGGACTTATGATTAGCTGATGCGGTTGGAGGTGCATGTGATTTGGTGTTTAATGGAACTGGAAATGCACAAGCCGCCAGATGTTGACGGCCTTGAAATGTCAAACTAATAGTATATGTCAAGCTTCTATTCATTGAGTACTCACAAGCTGACTAAACTTGGCTAAGAATGCCTTTTACGCTTGAGCCATCTTCATATGTAAAATGGGCCATGATGATGTTGTTCCAGGGTCCCTGTCATACTCTTCATCCCGCATGTGTTTTTAGTAAGCATTGAACTGAGGGCTCTGTAGAATAAGCATTGGACTGTTAACCGTGAAGACGGCAGTTCAAACCCACTGGCCACTCTGAGAGAGAAAGATGAGGCTTTCTACCCCTGAAGATTTACAGCCTGGGAAACCCTCTATAGGGTGGATAAGTCAGAATGGTCCCCATCAATGGCAGTAGGTTTGGCTTCTTGTTTTTTGGACCATGTTCCAGGCGCTGTTCTAGGTGATGGAGAAACAGGCTGCCTGCGTGTTGTTGAGACAGAGCCTCCATGTGATGGAGTAGAACTGCCCCACAGGTTTTGCATACCGGAGCAGATTTCATGGCCTACCTTCTGCACAGGGGGCCAAAAAGCGGAAAAATAACTCTTTGTAAAGAGTGAAAGAGGCCAAGAAGCATGAGGTATCAGTTATTCCTCTGGTGTATTTGTTGTTGTTAAGTGCCGTCGAGTCGGTTCCGACCCATAGCGACCCTGTACAGGGTTTCCGAGGGTGTAAATCTTTACGGGAGTAGAAAGCCTCATCTTTCTCCCGCAGAACGGCTGGTAGTATTAGAAGATGACAAATAAGCAAAGGATGGGAGTTAGAGATAAGCGAGGGGTCCAGGGAAGGCCTGAGACTGAGCAGAGAACTCACGGAGAGAAAGGAACAAACCCTGAGGAAGAGAGGAGAAAGGCAGGGCAGGGAAGGAACTTGCCGGGTTTACAGTCTCTTGGGCCATTGGGAGAACTTGGGCTTTGAGTGGAGGGAGGTGAGGGCACTGGAGGATTGGGAAGAGGAGCGATGGGCTTGACTCAGATGTTCACGGGCGCCCTCTGCCGGCGGTGGTGGGAGCAAGTGGGAATGTGGACGCTTGCCTGGAGACTTGGGCAGAGGTAATGAGGAGCTCTGGTAGCAATGGTAATGAATGGGATCAAGGGAGTAAGTAGTGGGTAGGTTCTGGATATTTGGAAAGGTTATAGAGACAAATTACTAACATAATCCATGTGAAATCCTTGCTTGTTCCAAGAGAAGCCCCAAACATCTGCTAAATGCTTTGCATGTAATATCTCATTTCACCACGACGCCAACCTTGTGTCTTTTACAGAGTCCAGAGAGGTTAGGGCACTTAACCGCGGTCACAGTATCTGCTCCCATAAGCAGGCACAGAAAGGATTTGATCTTGTGAAAGGTCCCAGAAGGTGCTCAGGTTTGAGCTGAGCTCTAAAACCGCCTTTGCTCAGTACCTCCCTCTAGTGGGCATTTGGGCTTGAGCCTTGGGCTCACACTAGCTAAGGGAAGGTAGGGGGCGTGCCAAGCTAAGGGTCCCGCTGCTCTTCCCCAACTTTACCAGAGTCCAGCCAGCGAAGGGGAGGAGGAGGAACTGCTGATGGAGGATGAGGAAGAGGAGGTTCCGGCGGGGGTCTCAGTGGAAGACAAGAGCCGGAGACCCCCAGGGAAAGGCTCCTCGGAGACCACCCACCAGGGTGAGAGACTGAGTGGCAGGAGGGAATGGAGGGAGAAAAGACAGGCAGAGAAACGGGTGCCCTTGAGTCCGTCCCAACCCATAGCGATCCTATACCGAGGCTGTAAATCTTTGTGGGAGCAGAAGCCTCATCTTTCTCCCGTGGAGCGGCTGGTAGTTTCGAACTGCTGACCTTAAGGTCCACAGCCCGATTCGTAACCACTACGCTACCAGAGCTCCTTTTATAGGTCAGACTTTAATTTTCCTTAACCTCTCTCCGCAAAATGCCCGTCTGAATTGCTAGCCCCACTGACTAATTTCACTCTCCCAGCCTGACTTGAGCTTTAACGTTGCATTTCGTGGCCCATCTACCGAATTTCTTTACATGCTGCCTGACATCTTAGCCAGGCTGCCTGACTTTATTCCCCTGCCTGATAGGATAAGCGCTGGACTGTGCATCACAGGTTGGCAGTTCGAGCCCATCAACCACTCTGTTTTCTGCTCCTGCAAAGATTTACAGCCTCGGAAACCCTATACCGGGTTGCTATGAGTCAGAACCAATTGTACACTTAACAACACCAGAATTTAAGGAGCCTTGGTGGTGCAGTGGGTTAAGCACTGGGTTGCTAGCCATTGTCAGTGGTTCAAACCCACCAGCTGTTCCAAGGGAGAAAGCTGAGGCTGTCTGCTTCAGCAAAGATTTACAGTCTCAGAAACCCTAAGGAGTAATTCCACTCTGTCTTAAGGGTCGCTATGAATGGGGATTGACTTTAATGGCAGTGGAGTTGGGTTTGTTTGTCTGATTTATTTACCCCATTGCCTGATTGTTTAAAGGTTTCCCCTGATTTCCTAGCCCCGCGGTCTGATTTCCTCTGCCCATTACCTAATTTTCTGAAGTCCTCTCCTGACTTCCTGTCGTATTTGTTAAGCCCACTTCCTGATTTCCTAGTCCTGCTGCCTGATTTTTACGGCTTCTGTTGAGTTTTCCTTTTTTTTTTTTTTTCTCCCCTTCCTCCCCCAAGAGACCACGTCCCCGGGGAAATGCCTGGAAAACAAGATCCGGGTACCTGTTCGCTATTGCATGCTGGGTAGTCGGGATTCTGCAAGGTTAGATACCACCCGTGACTGCCCCCTCCCCAGCTCACCAGGAGTCCTGGTAGGGTCCGGTGGGGGAGTAACAAGGCCTGAGATCCCAGAGCTCGCTGTGTGTGTGAGGGGTGGAGGGAGAGCCTGGCTCCAGGGGCATGGGAATCCCTGAGGTTGTGGGACGCTCTTCCTGGCCCCTACAGGAGCCCCCACACCCTGGTGGAAGTGACGTCTTTCGCAACCATCAACAAGTTCCAGCCTTTCAACGTGGCCATTTCCAGCAACGTGTTGTTCCTGCTGGTCTGTGGTCTCCTGGTACCGGGTTTGACGTGGGCTCCGGCCTGTGAGAGGGAGGGAGCCCCTGGAATGTAACTGTTCGCTGTGTTCACTGCTGGTAAACAATCCAAACCCCCCAAAACAAACCCACTACTGCCACGGAATTAATTCTAACTCAGAGACTCCAGTTTCTGAGGCTGTAAATCTTTCAAGGAAAGACTGTCTCTTCTTTCTCCCTCAGAGATGTTGGGTTGGAGCCACTGACCTTGTGTTTAGTTATCAATGCTTAGCCCGCTGTGACACCAGGGCTCCACAATAAAAGCACAAAAAGTGCTTATTTGGTTAACAGTAGATGCTCAATAAGTGCATCACTGAAGGAGGTGGGTTCGGACCCCTGAACCTCTCTTCCTATGTCCTTTCCCTTCTCTAGGACTTCCATAGCCACTTGACTCGGAGTGAGGTTGTGGGCTACCTGGGAGGCCGTTGGGACATCAACAGCCAGAGTGAGTATCTGGGGTACAGGGGTGTAGGGGTCAGGCCGATGTCCACACCTTACTCTTGCCTCCACCTTCATGCAGTGCTCACTGTGCTGAGAGCCTTCCCTTGTCGGAGCCGACTCGGTGACCCGGACACGGCAGCCATCATTGAGGAAGAGGTGGGGGCAGAGGGCATTCTGTCGGGGGACGGGGCTGACCTGGTGCCTGGCAGTGTTTAGCGCTTAGCAAGGGTGGCAATGGACGTCTGAGCTCCATGACATTGGGGTGCAATTCCAGCTGTTTGGGTCATCAGACATAGTTTAAGCCTTGGGTTTTAGATGTTTTCTATGTAACCCTGGCCAGTCCCTTGCCTTCTATTATGGATTGGAATTGCATACTCCCAGAAAAAAATGTGTTGTCAACTCTAACCTGTGGTTATAATTCCATTTGGGAATAGATTATTTTTTACTAATGACACAGGATTAGTGTAGGATGTATCTTGAGTCAGTCCCTTTTGACATACAAAAGAGCAGAGCAGAGATGGGGGAAGGTAAATGCCTGGACACCTGGAGATCTTCAAGGAAGTAGAAGCTAATGAGACCCTTCCCCAGAGCCAACAGAGACCAAGCCTTTCCCTAGAGCTGGGGCCTGAATTCAGACGTCTAGCCTCCTAAACTGTAAGGGAATAAATTAGTCCCTTAAAGCCACTCCTTGTACTATTTCTGTAACAGCAGTACTAGAAATCTAAGACCTCCTCCCAGGGTCCCTTTCCTCCTGTATAGTTGTTAGGTGCCTTCCAGTTGATTCTTGACCCATAGCAACTCCCTGCAACAGAGTCGAACTGCCCCATAGTGTTTCCCAGGCTGCCATTTCTATGGGAGCAGATTACCTGGTCATTCTCCCTTGGAGCTTCTGGGGGTGTGGTACAAACTGCCTACCTTTTGGTTAACTAGCTGATCGCTTAACGTTCAGTTGTACTACAGCGTTGTTTTTGTCTGTAAAATATGAATGTGAATGTGGGCCCCTCCCTCCCTGATGCCCAGAAAAGGCTCCATCAACCTTAGCCGTCAGCCTTCATGAAGGTGCTTAATAGTGACCCGCATTGTACTGTAATGGCAGTGGTACAGTGGGCCAAAGTGGGCCAGGTTTGCATTGGAGGGTCAGTTTGTTACTCCTCCCCAGGTCTTTTTCCAAACCCATGTGCTGCTCTGCCATGTGGGAATGCTTATCCCCGTTGTTGTTAGGTGCCATGAAGTCGGTACCTCATAGCAACCCTATGCACAACAGAACGAAACACTGCCCAGTCCTGGGCCAACCTCACAATCGTCGCTGTGCCTGAGATCGTCAGCTACCGCCACTGTGCTCATCCCCCTCTATTTACTGAGCACTTACTTTGTGCCGCTTACCGAGCTGGGGATATATGTATATATGGATGTGAACACTATTGTCCTTGCCCTCATTTGGTGACAACATATGTCTTTTTAACTTTTCATTATGAATTGGGTAAAGGTTGACAAAGCAAATCAGTTTACTATTCCATAATGCATGCACATTTGGTTTCTTAGCATTGTCATCTCTATAATGTTAACATGTATCCCACTTCCTCCCTGCATTTCATTTCCATTTCTCCTTTCTTAACCCTTCCGCCTTCTGAACTTTATCCTTTCTTATAGACAGACCTATGTCCAGAGACAGTTCCTTCACTGGCTCTGGACAGGTCAAGGTCTGTCTTGATCACTGCTGTATCCCTAGGCCTGGCATGTAGTGGGTACTCATTGAACGTCGGCCCTGAGCCGCACAATGTCCCAGGTCTACCAGAGTCTGTTCCTGCGAGGACTGTCCTTGGTGGGCTGGTACCACAGCCACCCTCACGGCCCAGCGCTGCCCTCGCTCCAGGACATTGACACGCAGATGGACTACCAGCTTCGCCTGCAGGGCTCCAGTAATGGTTTTCAGCCCTGCCTGGCCCTGCTCTGCTGTATGTCCCAAGCACGGGTGGGTGAGGGGCTGTTGGTCAGCCTGGCCCCTGGGTCCAGCCCCTCTCTCACTGTCTTTCTCCAGCACCTTACTACTCCGGCAATCCAGGCCCCGAGTCCAAGATCTTGCCCTTCTGGGTGATGCCACCCCCTGAGGTCTGTGTGCTGCATGGGCTGAGGGCTCAGGTCTGGGCTGGGAGGGCTCTGGACGGGAGGGATGAAGCGAGGGCACCCAGGTGGCAGGAGGGAGATGATGCCAGCCCCTCTCTTGTTGCCTCCCCCATCACATTGATGGGTTCCCCATGGTGGTTCTGATCCCCTGGAGTCTTGGATTTCCCACCTAGGGGCCTGTCCTGCTGTCCCGTCATGAAGTGGGTCTGGGAGTGGTGAGGCCTCTCTGACATGTGTGTCCTTGCCAGCAACGGCCGGGTGACTATGGCATCCCCATGGGCGTGGAAATGGTCTACATGCAGGACGGCTTCCTGACCAATGACATCCTGCAGGAAATGGTGAGCCCCTCCCCTTCCCCTTGGGCACTATGGCTAAGACAGCCCTCTAGGTCCCAACCCCCTACAGTTCCCATCAGGTGAAAACCCCCACCTCTCATCTGGCCCCCACACATTGTTGGCAGGGTCTGCCTCAGACCAGATTCCCCATGTGGAGAAATTCCCAGAGACTTGAGGTGGGGCCCAGGGGAATTCTTTGAAATACTGTTCAATGTGTATTAAAAGAAAAAAAAATGCCATCGAGTCGATTCC